GAAGAAATTTGTTGATTCGTGAATCATTCAAATGGTGTAGCAATGAAAAAAAAACCATATATTGAGAAATAATCAATAATGAAAAACATAAGCCAAATAATAAAAAGAAAAAGTTCAAATAACCAAAACACACACAGACATCATTATAATTGCTGTTTTGTTTTTTATTTTTTGTTCATTGACTACAGGATTGTCTTCTAATAATTCTTTTCATTTTTTTTTTGTTCATCTGGTTGTTACTCTTGGGATGTTTTGATATATCAAACACACACACACATATCATAATGATTTTTTCATCATCATCATCATCATCATCATTTTACTAAATATAATAAGTTATCATTATGAGAAAGGACAAATGAAAAACAAACAAACAAATAGACAAACATATCAGTATAAGATGGATATTATGAGTTCAAAAAACTTTTCATCTCTCTCTCTCTCTCTCGATGATGATGATGATNACACAGACATCATTATAATTGCTGTTTTGTTTTTTATTTTTTGTTCATTGACTACAGGATTGTCTTCTAATAATTCTTTTCATTTTTTTTTTTGTTCATCTGGTTGTTACTCTTGGGATGTTTTGATATATCAAACACACACACACATATCATAATGATTTTTTCATCATCATCATCATCATCATCATTTTACTAAATATAATAAGTTATCATTATGAGAAAGGACAAATGAAAAACAAACAAACAAATAGACAAACATATCAGTATAAGATGGATATTATGAGTTCAAAAAACTTTTCATCTCTCTCTCTCTCTCTCGATGATGATGATGATAATAATAATAATTTTTCCATGTTGAAGACAGAATTTGCCTGGTGTTTTTTTTGAGTTTCATTTGTTCCTTGAGTTTTTGTTTATGAGATTCATCCGATGATGATGATGAGATTATTAATAGATCTTGTTTGAAGTACTTGGTTTTTGCCATTGAATTTGATGAGTTTTTTGTTGTTTTTGTTTTTTGTTTTAATGATTGTCTAAAATTATTATCAATTAGTTAATTAATAATTATGAATTTTGGTGATGATGATTAGCGTCTGTCAGAAAATATTCTCTTTTGGGTTCATTTTTGTTCAGTGTTTGATTGAGAAGAAGATTATATTTAGTATTTTATCTGTCATATTTTTTTTTTTGGTTCATTTTCCTTTCCCCTCCAAAACAAAAAGTTGACATTGATTTTTTTTTTTTTTTTTTTTGGTCGTTGGTTCATTCACTTCATCGAAAAATAAAAGTGAAACATTCTTATTATATTCATTTTTCATGAGTAAAAGTAGTGTAAAGTTGATCAAGTTATTTCGATTTTTATTCTTTTCTTCTTTTGATTGAAATAATGTTGTTGATGATGACAAAAATCAATATTACAAGAGAAAGAAAGAGAAATATATAAAAAACAATGTTATTTTGTCAATTGATGATGATCATCATCATCGTCATCAAAATAAAATGTTGAATCGATGAATTTTTTTTTCTTAGCAACAACAACATCATCATAATATTATTATCGTTATCAAATTGAAAACATCTGTGAATTAGGTTTTCTTTTCTTTTTTTTTCTTTTGGATTTTTATTCGCAGAATTGTCAATAAAGAATTTCTCATTCATTCATTCATTCATTCAATTTTATTGAATGGATTCTTAGATTCTTATGTTGTGATGAAAGGATTTTCGTTGGAAAAAAAACGATGATGATGATGATGATGTTTTCTAGGTTGGCCTAGATTTTTCTTTTATGTTTTTTTTTCCATTCTCCAGAATGCTTGTTCCATATTTGTTTTAGAGCTTAATTCACAATTTGGAAATTCAATTTTCATTCAGTGTTAACGGTAAAAAAAAACATTGCCACACACGCCATCTAGTGTGATGAATTGGTTATTAATTCAAACAAAAAATTTCAAATTTCAAAAAAAATTTTATTTACAAAAAAAAACAAATTTGATTTTCATACAGAGATTGCCAGAAAAAAAAACAGAAAAAAAGAATCAATTATTTTACAATAATTTTAATTTAAAAAAAAATGATGATCATCATCATTATTATAATCACAAGGATTTGTGTTCCCTTGATTTTTCCCAAAATTGTTTGTTTTTTGTTTTGTTTTTGTTTCCCACTGATGATGGCACAACGAAGAAGAAGAAGAAGAAAAAAATTTATCGAAATAAAGTTTGTGCAAATATAAATAAGAGAGAGAGAATGTGTTTAGAAAGAGAGAGAAAGAGAATTTTGCAAAATCCCAAATAAAATTGTTTTTTCTTTCGTTTTCATTTCTGGTTTCCGAAAACAGAAACAAAAAAAAAACAGCCAAAAAAAACAAATAAATAAGAATTTCGGAAATGAGAATTTCGGTTTTTTTCGGTTGTTTGTATCAGAATCTCAGAAAATCGAAAGAAAAACAAACATTATTCGCCACATACACATCAAATCACAAATAGCAGCAGCAGCGAAAATTATAATAAAAAAAATCATTTAACACATCATCATTTAAACCCATCCATTTGATCCAGGATGTTTTGAATGTTGTTGTTGTTGTTGTTGTTTATTTGTTGTTGATGTTTGATGATGTTGTTGTTGTTGTTGATTATTATTATTATTATTCGATTCAATTTTATTAATTTGTTGGTCCATATTAGCATCGGTTAATTCACGAGATCGATTTTGTGAAATGCTATTTGTTGCCGTAATAGTAGTAGTAGTTGTTGTTGTTGTTGTCGTTGTTGACATAACATGACTATCACCATTTGATCTAGATGATCTTATTGTATTCGAATGATGATTATGATGATGATGAAAATGATGATTATGTTGTGGAAATGGCTGTTGATGATGATTATTATTCAATGTTTGATCATATAATAAAAGATGATCTAAATCATCTAAATGTCCATGAAAACTATTGGAATGATGTAGACGTTGTTGTTGTTGTTGTTGTTGTTGTTGCATTATTAATGAATCATTGACAAATGTTGTTTGTTGATGAAAATTATTTGTTGATAACAATGATGATGTTGGTGCAACAATATTTGCTGATGATGAATAATGATAATCAGAATCATGTTGACTACCACCACCAACAACAGCAGATGATGATGAATAATCATAATGATTAATTGTTGATGGTAATGGTTCATAAAAATCGGCTGTATGTCGTCGAAATGATGATGATGCACCAGATACGGATGCGGATGCAGAATGATGTATATGATTATGACCAGAAGTAGAATGATAAATTGATTCGGTTGTTAATAAATTACCGGTAGCTGTTATTTGTTGATTTGAACGTGTTGTATTTAACGTTTCTGTTATTGTTGTTGGCAGGCTAAATGCTTGTGTATCCAATAATTGTGGATGTGATGAATGATGTTGTCGCGTTGTTATTGTTGTTGTTGTTGATGTTGTTGTAGGTGTTGATGATAATGATGATTGTTGATGCGCTATTGGATGAAAATGATGATGTAATGTCAAAGAATTGTTGTTGTTGTTGTTATTTGAAACATTATGATTATGTAAAATGGATGATGATGTTGACGGAAAATAATGTTGATAATGACGATTTGATGATGATCCATTATTTTTATTTCGATGCACTGTACCATGATGTTGTAAAAATTTATTCGATAAACTTGATGCTGTACCACCACCACCATAATTATTATTATTTGATAATGATGATGGATAATAATAAAAATGATGTAAATTGGTATTTGATTTTACCGTATTACTAGTATTCGAACCATAAATATTTGTTAATGAATTATCTTTTGTTGATGAATATAATCGTCTTGTGGTTGTTGCAAATGGATCAATAGAATTTGTATTTGTTAATGATGATGATGGTGTTGATGATGATGATGATGATGATTGTGAATTTTTCATCATATTTGTTGTTGTTCCTGTTGTTGTTGCACCTAATAAACTTGGATGAGTTGCCATTGATGGTAATGGTGGTGGTTTATTTGTTGTTGTTGTTGTTGTTGCACCAATTTGTTGTTGTTGTTGTTGAGAAATTGAACCAGATGATGATATAGTTTGATTTGTAAATGGTAAATAATCATAAATAGTTGATGGTTGATAATAACTAATTGCCGATGATGTTGGATAATTTCTTAGATTTCCAGTATGATAACCATAATAATTATTACGACCATAAGTTGTTTGTTCATAACCAGTAGCTTGACCATATGAATTTTGTGGATGATTATGATGTCCAACAATAGCTAATCCAGCTGCTGTATCATAATAAGATTGATGTGATGTTGTTGTTGATGATTGTTGTTGTTGTTGTTGTGATGGTATTAATGATTGTGGATAACCATAAATTGTAGCCGATGGATGATATAATGATGGTATTGAATGATGATGATGATTATTATATTGATTATGATGATTATGATTATGATGATGATTTATACCGGTTGTATAACCATAAATTGAATTAATAGCAGCCGTATTATTATTATTAGCTGAAAATGGATGATGATATAATGCTGAATGTTGTTGTTGTTTACCATTTGTGGACGGAAAATATAGTGCATGTGATGGTGTTTTTGATAAATTACTATTATTATTAGTATTTGATGTTTTTGTTCCATATAAATTTGTTTGATGTTGTTGATTATGATGATTATGGCCATGTTTGTTTGTTGTTGTTGAAGATTCAAATTGATAATTTGATTTATTATTTGTTGCTGTTGTTGTTGTTGTTGTTGATGATGATGATGATATAATTGAATCATGGCTATATAAATTTGTTTGTTGTTGTTGTTGTTGTGATGAATATGTTGATTCAGTAGCAATAGCAGGTGTAGGACAATAATTTTTACCATGATGATGATGATGATTATTATAAGAATCTGTCATTATTAATGATGATGATTGTGATGATGAATCAATCGAATTACGTTGTTGTACAATATTATTTGTTTGAGAATTTTGATTAAATGATGGACTTGTATTATTATTTATCGATGTTGTTGTTGTTGTTGTTGCCGATGTTGTTGTTGTTGTTGTTGTCGTTTTTGTTGATGATAAACAATCATTTATGGCATTTGTAATATTATTTGTTATTGTTGAAGAACCAGTATTTGTTGTTACTGTATTTGTTGTTGAATTTGTTGATTTAGTTGATGATTGTAAATGAATAGCTGTTGATGGTGTTGTTGTTATTGTTGTTGAATTTGTTCCAATCGATGATTCTGATGTATTATTCTGTTGTTGTTGTTGTTGTTGTTGTTGTGCAGCAGCAGCAGCAGCCGCTTGTTGTTGTTCTTGTTGATGTTTAGCAACTGCTTCCAATGCAACTTCCATAATATCCGTTTTAGTTAATCGTAATGATCTTCGAGAATTAAATACTTTATATGCCATAAGCTACAATGTAAACAATAAAATAAAAACAAAATTCTTAGCAAAAGAAAACCATTATCATCATTATTTACCAATATAAGAACAGTAATAAGAATTAAAACAGCAACATAAAACCATTGTTCATTAAACCAACGTTTTAATGATGCCATTGATTCATTTGATAATAATAAACGACGTAATGTTGCTAATGGACTTGATGGATCAACTTCACGACAACGTTGATTAACATCACAATAACCATTATAATTATCACATGGTGTACCAGGTTTTGCATATAAATCTGGTACATCATATGGACTTGTATTCCATTCAAATGATGATCTTTAAATTGAAGAAAAAAAGAATTTTTTTAAAGAAATCATGATTGAAAATAAAATAAACATAACATACTTGCAAGTACTATCATCGGAAGGCATACGACAACATAATTCACAAAGTTTTGCAGGTGAATCATTTGGACCTTGTTTACATTGACATGATTCCAGACCATATGCCATACATATTGAACCAGTACATTCCTTTTAAAATGAGAAAAATTTTACAAATGATTATTTCCATTTCTTTTTTCTAATAACATACCCCCATATAGCAAACATATTCTTCATTACAGATTGTTTTATTTGCTTTATTTGTTGATGGTGGACATTGTGGACCTTGACCAGTGGATATCATCGAAAAAAAGGAAAGGAAATAAGAGAAAAAACAACAACAGCAGTTAAGGAAAAAAATATGGAGAAAAACCAAGAAACCAAGAAAATTTTTTTGTTTTTCAATTTTGTAAGAGAAAAGGATATTTGCAATAGCTTGCTGTACGACAACCATTATCATCACGGCATTTATTTCCAACTTTTAATTTACAATCCTGTGTACAACATGGACCTTGACTTGGACTACAAATCACATTCGGACGTAATCTATTTGTTTTTTGATGGTAAAACAAAACAAAAAATGAAAAGGAAATGAAAATCAATATAATAATGATGGTAGACTGACTGCATGGTTATGGTTATTTTACTTACCGACATGGTGGCTCATCGGGTGGTGGATTTGCACGCATTGGAAAACAACATGGTTCTTTACAATCTTCTTCCCAACCACAATCACATTCTTCACCATCTTCAACAACTTCATTTCCGCATATTGCATCTTGTGGTTCTGTTTTTGTTAAAAAAAAGGGGTAAATTTCATTTAGAATGATGATGAAAAAATGATGAAAATCAATTTTTATTACAAAGGAAAACAAATGGGAAATGGAAATCATTTCATTTTATTTTTTCTTGGTTTTCGGAAGGAAAAACAACAATATGAATTATGAATGATGAATCAGTGTTGTTTCACTTTCTTTCTTTCTTTCATTTTAGCAGAATTCAATTCAAGTTTAAACTGTTCAAATAATAATCATGGTCACCAGAAGAAGAAAAAAACTGAAAATTCATCATCATTCAAGTTTAAAGTTGTCAAATAAAAAATTTTTCCTTCAATTTTGAACTTGTTCTTGCTGACAAAATTTATGAAGCCAGCCTATATATAAATCTAAAAACCGATTAACAATTTTTCATTTTTTATTTTGTCATCATTTTGTTTTAAACTTTCAGATTTTCTTCTTGACCATTTTTTGTTTTTCTCAAACCATTTTTCTGACTAAATCAGTTTATTCGCATCACTTGCGTTTTTTTGTTTTTCGTGTATATCATATTTCAAGCGAAAACAAACGAGAAAAATGAAAAAAATGATCATCATATTTTCATCGTTGTCAACATTAATGTTAACAATTTTAACATTATTATCATCATTCAATTTAATTGTTTCGTTACCAGTTTTAGCCAACAACAACATTAAAAATGAATCTTTAACGATAAGAAATTCTTTACAAAAACCATCTGTGAATTTAAACATCAATAGCAGTAGCAGTAGCATGACTACTGAACAACCACCAATAACAAATGTATCCGAATTAGAAATGACGCCCGATGTTAATCATGCCTTAACAATCGATCATCAAAATATTGTCATCAATCTTGGCCAATCATTATCATCGGGTATTACTAATGCTATTGTAAGACCAATAACATTTTTCAATAATCTTATTGGTTCGGCAGCCGGATCTTTGCCCGGTTTGTTTGCTGCCAATGGTGCTGGTTAGTATATATTTTTATTTTTATTTTTTCCAATCATTATCATTGGCAAAATGCAATTTTTTTGTTTTGTTTCCAAATGGTTGATCCACTTGATCGTTTAATTTTATTTTTCTTTCAATTTTTGTTTTTAGCTCTTGGTACAGCAATTGCTACACCAATTCAATTGGGTACTTTAGCTGCAAATGCTGCCATTTCTGGAATTACTGGTACAGTAGTATCAGTACCAATATCATTAGCATCTGGTGGTGTTGCACAATTAGTTGGTATGGTCGGTACAGGTCGTCAATTATGGCATAGTACAATTGGTTCGGATCCAAAAAATTCAACATTTTGGCAAAATGGTGAATTATGGCTACAACCATTGGCTGTTGTAACTGGTGCAAATTCAATATTGGCCGGTGTTAGTTTAAATGCCTTAAGTCAAGGTGTTAAAAATCTTGGTTGGGGTATTGAACGTTTTGGTGTATCATTAAGTAATACCGGTAAAAATGCTAAACAAATGGGTTCAGTTTTAATTGGTTGGGCTAATGGTAAACCTGTTTATGCTACATCAATTCTAAATGAAACATTGATTACAAATATTAATCAAACTGAACAACTAAAACAACAGCAACCACTAATGGATACTATTACTGAAATTGATTTTGATAAAATGATTCAGCTAAATTCAACTGAAATTATGATGATTGAAGCATCAATAACGACAACGATGTCTACCATAATCGAAAATGATTTACAAACATCAAACGATATTGATAATAATGATAATTTGATTGATCAAAATGATGAAATTACAATGGAAAATGAACCAAAACAACAGCAGATTATAACTAACAAATTTGACGAAAAAAATATGACAGTGTAACCGTGTAAACGAGCAAACCTGTCGAAATTAACTTATTATTTTGATTAATTAATTAAACTAAAATGTTTTGTTTGTTTTTAAATTCCATTTCAACATTCGGATTTTGTTAATTTTCACTTTTTTTTTCTGTAAAATTTTTTCCTAAACAATAAAGATAAGCTTGATTTTTTTCAAGAAAACCGAATTGAATTTCCTAAGATAAACTTTCATAAATGATGCAATTTTCAAATGAATTTTTCATCTTTTATCTTTTTTTGTTTTACCGAATAATCTTGAATGACAGTTACATGAATCGGATTTTTGTTTCGATTGATGAATGATGTGTGTGGGATGATGAAACCCAGTTAACGGGAAAACGAAAAAATTAATTACAGAAAAAAATAAGTACATTTTCTTCTTCTTTTCCGGGAACTTTCTTGTCAAAAGTAACGAAACAAGAAAAAAAAATCGGTTTTCTTTTGATCGGAAAATCCGAAAAAGAAACCTTTTTTGTTTTGTCAAATTTCCAATAAATTATGAAAATTTATGTGTTGTGTGTGTGGGTGGAAAACTAATTTATTTAGGTCGAAACAAAAAAGCTTATGTTTTCAAATAGAAAAACGATGATTAGTTATGATTTTAATTTGATTGAAAAATGGCCATAAAACATTCAATTTAGTTGGTCATCAGAAAAATTAACAAACAAACATTTTTGATGATGATAATGATAAACATGATGAAGAAAGCAAGAAAAATGTTGTATGATTTTAGTTTATTCTGTTGTTGATAATCATCAGCTGTGGCTCGATTGATAAACACATTGTTTGTTTGTTTTTATTGATCCAAAAAGAAATCATAATTTGTTTTTTTTTGTTTTTCAACAAAAAATACAACTGAAAAGGTCAAGTAAATGTTTAGTTTTTGTTCTTTTTTCTTTTGTTTTCAACGGATAACATCATTTAGATAGATATCAAGATTCGACAAAAGAAAAAATAAAAGAATGTCATCATTTTATTTTTGGGTATTTTTGGGTCTGTTAGTTTCTTATTCATTAGTTTATCGGGCCGAGATACCGAATCGGACCGACATACAAAACCCATAGTGTTAATGGAATTTTTCTTTTTTCTTTTTTCATAAAGTGATGAGAGAACAAAAAAAAAGTGTGTTAAATTTTCTTAAAGTTTTTTTTCCATTCATTCATTCATTGTATTCATCATCAATGATCTTTTCTTTTTCTTTTTAAACAAAGTTTTTTTTTCTCAAACCAAAAAACAACCAACATCAACAATCAATGAATAGAATACACACACACACACATTGAATACATAGTGATAGAAGAATATAGGCCAGAATAAGAGAAAACAAAACAAAACAAAAAGCTCAAAAAATCTTGATTTGGTTTTTGTTATTGTTCAAGATTCTATATAGAATTCAGGAATTATACTCAGAAAAAGAAAAAAGAAAATGAAAGAATCGAAGGATGATGAAAGTAGAAAACAAAATACCACATTAACAATAGTGTGTATGTGTGTGTGATGATAATGAAAAACAGAAAAACAAATCACAATTCTTCCGATTACGATGATGATGAGATACGGGGAATAAAAAAAACAAGACCAGAAAGAATAGAAATCGATTTTTATGTTTTCTGTTTTCTGTGTTAAATCTTAGATGGTCGATATATTTTAAGGATAACCGATAAACATAAGAAGAAAAAAATCCTTACAAAACAAGTGAAATGATGAAAACGATTGATCCATCTTTGTCTATGTGTGTGTGATACACATATGTTATGTTTGAAATAAAATTAAAAACTCACCTTGAAAACATCCTTTTAAACTTTTTGCTTTTGTATTTAAAACAGCATTTATACTACGTAATGAACATGGTGAAAATTTATTATTATTACGTTTATCACCGGATGTAGCTCTTGCAAACATAATATAATTGCCATTTTCACCGCCAGGTGTACATGCATGATCATCTTCAGGATCATGCTGAACCAAAAATAAATGAAAGAAAGAAAAAGTTCAAACAAAAAATGATTAATGAGTTTGTTAGTTTCAACAAAGAAAAAAAAATTCCAATCAATTACCGGTGAACCAAAATTATGACCAATTTCATGAGCCAATGTAACATGCGATACAATTGGAGGCACATGTTTACCATAATTGAGCAACGTAACGATGCCCGTATTTAAGCTCTTTAAGCTTCCACGATAATGCTTGATTTGTTTTGGTGAAATTGAAAAATAAAAGAAATGAAATTGAAAAGTTCTGTCATTTTTTTTACAATAATTCACTTACGCCATTCTTTTCACAAACACCACCGGCATTTTTAAGATCACCAGTCCATGCTAATCCTAATGTACCACCTTCAAAATCTCTATAGGTAAACATATAAGCAAGGCAAAATGCATCATAATCTTCTTCGGAAAAAAGCTCTAGAAATTTTTCCACACCATAAGTGGACGGATAACGATATTCAGGATCTTTTAATGCTTCCATTGTATGAACTTTAATACGTTTGATCAAAAATGAAATATTATCCGGACGACCATCTTGATCAAAATCTACAAACAACAAACAAAACAAAACAAAACAAAAAAACATTCATACAAAATCAATATCCAACACCAAACAAAAAAACTAACCAGTATTTTTATAAATATTATTAACTTTTTGTACATGTCTTGTCATTGATTCAATACAAGCTTCTTCACTACCCATTTTTTCATAAAATAAATGATCAGCTTGTAAATAAAGCATACAGGTAGTTTTTTTTGGATCAACAACAACATGACGATCATGATGTCTTTGATCATCAATCCAATGTGTACGTGGATGTACTGCTTTTATACCATATGGTTCGGATTCAGTATAATGTAATGAATCCATATCACGCCAATAAATACCATGATTATTATTACCATTATTTTTACTTTGTTGTTGTTGTTGTTTCATTTGTCGAGGTTTTTGTTGTTGTTGTTGTTGTTTCGATTGATTTTCATCATCATCATCATTATCATCATAATTTCTTACCGTACTACTAATCATTTTTTTAGTTGTTGTTGTTGTTGTTGTTGTTTTTATTTGTTGTTCATCATTAACATCATCAACATCATCGATAATTGAATCAATTGAACTAGAATTAATAATGTTGTTGCTAATATTTTGGCCATTCATTTTCGATGATAATGAAGACATTAACATTTTTGATGATTTTGAATTGTTTGTTGAACGACGTTTTCGTCGTTTTTGTTGGATTGTTTTTAGATGATCATCAGAATCAAAATCATTTTGTTGAAATGATGATGATAATGAAAACCAATTACCAGCTGTTTTTATTAAATTATTCGTCGCCTGATGAAATGGATTAAATAATGGAAGATAACGTACAAAAAATGTTGTTTCATCGAAAAAATTATGATGATTCGGATGATTTGGATGATAATTTGACATAGATAAAGCAGCACCATGTGTTGCATTAAATGGAAAATAAACATCACTAGTAACATATATAACTGAATGAAAATCATGTTGTCCAAAATTAAGATCAAAATAACGTTCAGCTGGTTCAATATAATATTCATCATAACGTGTTTGTAGATGACCATCTAATAGACCATTTTTAGTTATTATACCAACAAATTTAGAATCTTCATCATCTATCAATCAATCAATCAATCAATTGTGATATGAGAAAAAGCAATGACAAAAAAGAAAAAAAAAACAAAAAACAAATACAAACCTTCAAGATAACCAGTAATAACATTTGTCATATCATAATCAATATGATTTTTATCAGTCGATTCAATAATAACATCTTGAGCAAAAACAGTTTCACTTTGACTTTTTAATAATAATTGAAATTTACGATTATGAGCCGAAAATTCTAAACGAATATGATGATTATTATGTTCATGTTCATGTTGATATTTTTCATCATCAATATGGTCAACATGATGACCATCATGATGACCATCATGACCATCATCATCATCATCATCATCAACAACAAAATCAAAATTATCCAATAATGGTAATGGACAATTATGACGTATAAAGGCAATGGTTGTAAGATTCATTAATGTTGTTGTTGTCGTTGTTGTTGTTGATGTGGTCATTGTTGTTGTTGTTAAATCACGTTGTTGTTGTTGTTGTTGTTGATTACTAATTTTAAAATTATTACTAATATCGACACTGGAATTTATTATCACAGGTACCGATGTTGTTGTTGTTGTTGTTGTTGATGGATTGGTTTTATTTGTTGTTGTTGTTGTTGTTGTTGTTGTTATAACATCATCATCATTCATTGCCATTATCATTATACGATCATCATCTTTTTGTTTACGTTCTTGAATATTTCTTTTTAATCTTGTATATTGATGTAATAAACGATGACGATCATAATATAATGGTTCAAAATTTGGTATAAATGTATTTAATTTTAGACCTGTAACGTTGTAATTTTTGTTCCAAGAAAAATTTTTATATTTATAATAATAATAATAGTAATTTTTGGAAATTACAAAAAATACATACCTAAAACATTATCACCACCACCGCCATCATCATTATCATTTATTGTTGTAATAGGAAATTTTTTAGTTACAGCTAAAACCGGATTAATTAATTGAAAATAAGGCGATAAAATTATAATTATAAATTGAAAATAAAATAATATTATCCATATGATTGATGATAATGATTTAAATTGTTTTTTCCAACAATGGCCATTATTATTATTATTAATGGCCATTGTTTTGGCTTGTTTTTTGTTAATTGGCTGATTTTGATGTCGACCATCATCATAATGATGACGATGATTATAATTATGTAAATAAAATAACCATGATTCAAATTTTATTGATAAAAATTTCAATATTAATTGTATGGCAATTAGAATTTGTTTGGCCAATTTTTTATTGTTATTATCATTAACGATAATATCGTCGACAACAACAAATGTAATGGTAGTCGATTTTGATGTTGTCCCATCATCATCATCCCGAATAACATTTTGTTTTTGATATTTTTTCATATTATATAAGTAAATTATTTTCAATGGTTTTTCGGTTGTTGTTGTTGGTCGACACAGGTTTGTTTTTTTTGTTGGTCGTGTGAAGAAACTAGAATCGTATGAAAGACATTTCAAAAAGTTGATTTTGGAAATTATTTTATTCTTGGAATTTTTTTCTGGTTTGAAAATTTTACAGAGAAAAATTTCTCATCAAAATATAGAGTCCATTTTCAAATTGATTTGGTTCAGTTTTTTCATTGAAATAATTCCATCATCATCATCAGTATTGATCGAAGAAAAGGAAAAAAATTTCACAAAAAATTTTGCATCTTGATTGATGAATTTGAAGAAGGAAAAAAAGAAAAATTCACAGAAAATTAATTAATTAAATTTTGTTTCAAATTAAAATGCTGATTATGATGATAATGATCATCACGATAATGATCAACTTGATTTAACAGAAAAACAAAAACAAAAATAACAACAAAACAACAATTAACTTGGATGCTACTGGATGGATTTTTTCGTTCGTTCGTTCAGAAGATTATCTACAATGTTTTTGGCTTGTGAAACACATATACACAAAAAAATGGAAATTATTCTGGGCGAGAAAAAAAACCAGAGGAAAAAAAAAATTTGTTGATGATTCATTCAGTCATTTTATTGTCAATTCTTTTTTTTTTGTTGAAAAGAAAACCAAAATTCATTATGATGATACTGATGATGATGATGATGATGTAAATGAATTTTTTTTTGTGCAATTTTTTTTCACTTATTCAATGGAATTCAATTTCATTGGAATTGAGATAGAATAGAAGAAAAAAAGAATCCAAATACACATCCATCCATCCAGGGTTTGTTGTTGTAATTTTCATCTTTTTTTTGGCTCACTGCCTATGGCTGGCTGTTATTATTATTGTCGTCGACGTCGTCGTCGTCTATTCTTGTTGTTGTTGTTATCGTTGCAGGGTGAAAATTTTCATTTTTTTTTCTTGCCTTGTTTCGCCCTGAATGATGATGATGATGTCGATGTTGATGATGCTGATGTTGTTGTTGTTGGGACAGCTATTCAGGAAAAGTTTCTTTTCATTTCATTTTTTTGTTGTTGTTGTTGTTGTTCAGTTGCCCTTATTGAACATCCAATATCCAACAACAACAAAAAGGAATCAAAAGAAGAAAAAAAAAATATTCTATACATGCCACACAGACACACACACACAAGAATCTCCACCATCTCTATATATAAACGAAAGAATTACACGTTTGCTATTTTCATCTTCATTCTCTGATTGATGAGAATGGTAGCAGCATATTTCTATATAGTGAATAATTTTTTTTCCCGAAGCAAAAAAAGAAGAAATACCGAAATACGGGTGCGGAAGTTAAATGATTGCATAAGAAACAATTATTTTGAGTTACAGTAGTTATAAAGAAAGAAAGAGAAAACATTTAAAGAATATTGAGAAAGAAACAGCAAGCAAGCAAAATGATGATGTAAATGAGCATCCCGAATAGAGGAGAAGCAAATTCTTGACCAGAATCAAGTCAGTCACTCGCTATATATAAAACATATACTTGTGAATTCTTTACATATAATAACGATGTCAAAATTCCCGCATTCAAGAATTCTTTATATGGAATAGCGGCTATTTTGGACCAACATCTAGCCTTTTTCCCTATCTTTTTTTTCAACCCCATTTATATAGTAAATGGTTAAAAGGTTTGGATCGACAAACTAACTAACAAAAAAAAAACTTTATCATTCCAACAGTAGTAGCAATTTTATATCAGTTCTTCCGAATCCGATCCAACAACAGCAATAACTATATCACTGGCCTCAACCCATGTTTCATCTGACGCAAAATCTTTACGCTACAAAAGAAATAAACTTCCGAACAGAATAATGTTGTTTCCTTGTTTTTTTTTTTGAATGTTAAACGATGAAAACAAAAAAAAAAACTAACAAAAGGCAGAAGAATATAATTCTGATTCCATTCTTTATATAGAGAATGAATGGCGAGGAAAAAGAATATTCTGGTTGAAATATATTCTGGTGTTGTACAAAAAAAAAGTGCAAAAAGAAAATGATCTTTAGAAACAAAACAAAAAAAAAGGATAAAGAGATTCATCACGACACACGAAGACGACGATGACTATGATGATGATGACGATATTTGGACCAAACAGAATAATTCAGCCTTGACTATAACACACACACACACACACAAAGACTGTATATTATTACATAGGAAAAAACACCAAAGATAGAGTGTCTGTAGGTCTGTAGTGTTTGTTGGGATAGTTTAGTCGGGCTATTGTTGTTGTTGTTGTTTAGATTCTCGATTCCATATATCCAAACAATATCAATTTGATATGAATAGAATTGGATAGAAAAAAAAGTGAGAAATATTTTTTTTTCGGAAAAAAAGAGAAAAATTTCCTTGGAAATCAGATGGAAACTTTCTTTCAATTTTTTCTTCATCTCCACACACACATTCTCTGTCAATTCATTCAATCATTCAACTTCCTTATTAGACCAAAAAAAAAAAAATGTACAAAGAGAATCTTCCCAAAAAAGAAAAGGAAAATATATAGTAAATCTGTTTTTGAAGAATATTACACTACTAACACTACTCACAAATTATACTACTTAATAAAGTTCATGATCATCATGTCTATCATGGCCAAAATAGATTAATTAATGTCCTGTTATTATTATTATTCGTCATTCTGGATGTTTTTTTGCCGATTTTCATCATCATCATCTTGATCATGATGTTGATGAAAGTTTCAATACAAGATTCTTGAGACGAAAGAGAGAAAAAAAACTGAATGAAAGAATTGCTCTTTGATGCGTGATAACACTATTCATTTTTTTTCTCGCTTGCAAAAAAAGTAAAGATTCTGTTAAAGATTTATTCTTTAGTCGAATGATGATGATGATGACCATGGATTGATTCTCCATTATCATCATCAACATCACCGAATTCATAACATCTTTTTTGATGCGTGTGCGTGTGTGTGAAAGCATAAAGTGTCAAGTTTTTTATTTATTTTAGATGTTTTCTTTTTTCTTTTTTTTACAAAAAACAAATTCATTCCATAAATTCCAAATACAGATGTGACACATTTTTTGATATGGGGCGGAAAGTTTTTTTTGAAAGATGTAAAAAAAAAGAATCTTCCCCCGAATAGAATCTTGATCATCAAGTTTTTTTTTTAAGTATTTTTTTCTCTGTTTTGTTTACTTTTAAAAACAAAAAACAAAGAATATTCTGAATGAATTTGATGGAATAAACACGAAGGATTTCTGTTACGCAATTCAATTTCATTTTGAATTTCAAAGAATGAAAAACATTTATTTAAAAAAATATCGATGCTTTTCCGGGTTGAACATTTTTTTTCTTTCTTTTTTTTTCAAAATTAATGATCAAATGATTGTTTGATTGATTGATTATCCATTCGTTCAGTTTTTGGATTCTGATGTTATTCAAAAAACAACTGATTTACCCAGTGTTTTCGAAAAGAAACAATTGATTTTTTTCCGTTAACCACAAATCATCAGATCATTATTCATTCATTTACTGAATGAGAAAATAATGATGAAATGATAATTGAAGATCAAATAAAATTTTACTTTGAAAAAAAATATCCAAATAAAACATTACATAACAGATTATCACCATCATTATCGTTGAATTGTTTGTGTGTGATTGATGAGTATTTAATGCACTATTTCGAACATTGAACATTAATAATGTTAAAATAGCATTTTTTCATTTTCATTTTTGGTATTTTTCCACTTTATTCGATCCAATTTTGGAATTTTTTTTTCGAAAAGTAAAAAGGAATTTGAGTTTTAAAAAAATTTTTTATTTTATTTTGTCAAATTGAATAATAAAATTGTTTTTTTTTCATTTATTTTAAAACTTCATTTTAGCCATTTGCCATTTGTTGTTTGGAATTTAATATTTTCGGGAAAAAAAAATGAATTTTTGTTGTTGTTGTTGGTTGTAAAAAAAATCAATAAACTTGTATTTCTAAATTATTGGCACGAATATAGCTACCAGTACAATGTAAAATACTATGCCAAAAACAATCATATGTATGTAAACTGCTTACATTATGTGCACTATGTGTTGGACTTTGTCTATTTAATTCTACACGAAATTGTTTATCATCAATAGTTGGTTTTCCACGTACAATTATTTCAATACGATGAAAATCACATAAACTTGCATCGGAAATTAATTTTCCGATTGTATGATCAAAACCAACACCTAATAATGCAGCCGTTGCAACTGTATTAGCATTATTTGGTGCAATTTGACATAATTCACGTGCTGGTCCTTCATATAGTATTAATGGTTTTGGTTGATTATCTTCACCTAACATTGATTCTTGTTGTTTAATTAGATCATCATTTAGTTCACAAAGTTTAGCATCATTTAATCGTAATGAACGTGGATGAAATGCTATTGTTATCTCTACATTCTATATAAAAAAAATTGACAATTTAATGATTTTTGAAAAACAATCGATAAAACTTCGAAACAAACCTGAAGACGATTACGTCTTGCCATCATTTGAATATCATTTGCACCCCATAATGCACCACGTGCAACAAACATACGATGTTGACTTGTTGATAATTTATTTGTTAATGTTTGTGCAAATTCTGGATCAGCTAATGCTGTTGGTGAGCCAATCTAATTTTGTTTTTGTTTTTTACTTTTTTAATTAAATGAATTCAATTTTTTTTTTTGAATAAAGAAAAACATTACCAAAAAATCAGCTTTATCAAGAAAAAGTTCAGCATATTGTTTAACAATATCTGGATGACAAACTTCAACAATCAAATCAACAAAATCAATTTCTTTGATTTGTTCTAATGCATTTAAAAATTTAACCAATGGACAACGTATCAATATTTTTGAACGTGTTTCTTCATTCAATGCAGTACGATTCCAAATGAATGCTAAATCAAGACGATATTTTGTACCTTCATTCATTAATTGTTCAACAAGATATTGACCAAGTTTTCCATAACCAACAATACCGATTCGTATGGAATAAACAAATGAAACCGATGAACTACGTATCGATACTGGTGTTCCAACAAAATTATGATTTAAATTTGTTAATTCCATTTTTTTTATTTTTGTTGAGGATTTTAATTTCGTTTATTTTAGACTATAGTTTTGATTTGGTTTGTTTGGTCAAATTGTTTAATCAAAAAAAAAAAAAAAAAAAAAAAAAACAAAACAACAAAAAAAAAAAAAAAAAAAAAAAAAAAAAAAAAAAAAAAAAAAA